TTTAATACAGTTACATATATATATATATATATATATATATATATATACAACTAAACGAACTTTATGGTTGTACGGCAGTGAAGCATCAGTGCCAACACTGATGTTGCTGTCATTGATGATGATGGGGATCTGACCCACAGCTGATCCGTGGAACAATGTGAGGACAATGTAGTAAAATCAAATGCTGTTGCGCGACTAGTCAAACAAGTGAGCTGTCGGACTATAGACTTTAACCTCACCTCAATCTAGGTCTGAATATGGTTAATTATGCAACAGTTTGCTTCATCTGATTGGTTATTTATTTAGGGTTTTCCTTTCGTGTGGCCTTACTGTTCCTTCCAATATTGACCCGCCTATTCTAGGGGGGATGGTAACGTGATCATGCACGGATAGTTGTTACAATTTCTCCAGGCGCTGCGATGACTTGTCTTGCTCCCACCTACTTATTTGAGCCTACTATGAGTGTACCATGCGATTCTGGGATGAATGCAGCAGGAAATAACTACCAATTTTTCCGCACATGCTAAGTGCCGCTGGTCAATTTTAACCTGCTTTCTTTTCACCCGCTCCTGAGTTCATTGATAAGTCGCAAAGTGAGGCGCGTCATGCAGCGCCAACACGCGTGTCCCTAACCAGCACAGTAGTAGACAAAAAAACAGAAAGTCGGCTAAGTAATCCTAACATCAGGTGAATAGGATCAACAATCAATATTCCAATAGTTTGTATGCTTAGGTTGAAGATTTTCTCTCACTTGCACCTTTGAAATCCGCCCCGGGGGAACCCTCGCCGGCTAGGAGAGAAATACCGTTGTTGCTCGTATTAGATGTGGGCTGTGTCAACTACCTGCACTGCACTCACTGGCGATTAACGCACGGAGCAACAAGTAGTTCCGTTCCAACCACGCAGCTTGTACCGCCACCGTCGCACTCCAATTCTCCGTATTACACTCAAGTTGAGCGACTATATTGTGACTTGTTGGGATGCGAATGTGCATTCACTGTGCCTCAAAAACGGTTCGAAGTCGCCGTTCCGCACCTAGGTTGCATGCTTTGGTAGTATACTAGATTACACGGTTGGAATCCCGTCATTCCATATCTTGGTACGGTGCCTGAAGCTGAACATGATCGGGTAGGATTCCACCTTCTTTGAGGTGTGGCCGATACGTGCAGCAGCTAGCTGCAAACGGAATAACCGATATCGACCGAATCAAGTGGACTACGTTGTTATCAGCTGATGGGATGGTTAGCAGCAGGTGCAACTTCCTGTCATCCTTTTGTTCTCATAAACAGCAGTCGTTAGTGAAAACTGGTGATTAATCCTCATGTACTTATTTGGTAAACCAGTGGGGTGTACTAGGTAAGCAAATATCTCGAGGCGTATTTACGTCAAACACTCATTCAAATAAGTTTAAGGGAATAGGAAGGCGGTCGACATCGACAAATGTTGTTGGCTTATGGTGTTTATGGATTTTCTGTGATTTCACTCCATCACGAGTCAGCATGCCCATTTTGGAGTGCTCTGCACAACCGGTGCCTGTTTTGATAATTCTAGATGTATAAATGTTGTGCTGACCAAGATGGGTAAGTTGGAGTCGCTCGACGTTGTATACATCGAAATACCGTTTCGCACGCCCTCCCTCTTTTGCATCTCACTGTCTCTGTCTGTCTCGTTTTCCATATAACCGTGGATATTCTTCTAGGTCGCTGTACATCTCATTCTTCTCCAAAAGTCACCTGATCTGACCGTCGCGCTTTTAAATCTCTTTGCATTCATGCATATCTGTGGGCCGAACTACAAGCGGATGTTGAGTATCAGCGGTTTCTCGTCGCAAAGTGAAACCCTACAATTTACGGGTGGATTCTTGTTACCCACAAACCTTGCGACAAAAGTTAATTTGTGAGCGGGATAAATACAGTTTTTCACCGCCCAAAGCAGATACAGCGTGTTACAGACTTTTTCTTGTCGTGAATCCACCTTCAATGGTATTACCGCTTGGTAACAGCATATATCAATCCTCTCTGACATAATTAGTATTTATGATACGAATTTCCAGTCAGCTACGCTAGCTCGTCTCTGGATAATCCAGTATTCGTGCCCACTCTTGGCTTCTCGATTGTCCTCACCTGGATCTTGGTGCCACGACAATGTGTCAGCCCCTGCATCGCACAAGTGACGTGGCAACTGTCCCACCACCAAGTATATCTCAGTTGAACGGTTTGTTTTAAGCATTTTTCAACATTTTTTCAGCATTTTTTCTACATTTCGACAACTTTCAAATCCACTTTCGCCCCCGACTGCATTGTACCAAAGCACGCGTTGCACTTTCGTGTCCTTTTTCGATTAAGTAATCAGTGTTGTTTACCTTTAGATATGGTTGCTCGTCATCCACACATCGAACGCAGCATCACTCACGTGTGCGCCCTAAGCGGACGTGACGCATGGCTTTTTATTTGTGATTCTAGTTTTGGTCATAATCTGCGGTTTCTCTCCACTACTTTGTTTCGTGCGAAACTTCGTTTCAGGTTGTGATGGTGGCTTCCCCTACCTTATTGCCGGGAAATATGCAGAAGACTTCGGTATACCTCTTGAATCATGCGACCCGTACACTGCGGTCAAGGCCGACAAGTGTCCAACCAAGCCGGGCTGTCGCCGCTATTACGCTACAAACTATCGCTATTTGGGCGGTTATTACGGAGCGTGTTCCGAACTGCTAATGCGCATGGAGTTGGTCCACGGTGGCCCCTTCCCAATCGGGTTTGAGGTCTACGACGACTTCATTCATTACAAGTCGGGTGTATATCGCCACACCAACATTAGGGTAAGCAAACTTTTGTAACACCCAAGCATAAACATTCACGACCAGGTCGGTCACGAAGTCACTGTGCGCATTTTCAATACGACACTCGAGTTATCTTCTCGGTGGTTGTCCTTATCCATCATAGTCAGTCGTAATCTAATTCTCTCGCGTTTATACCGGGCACATGGTGTCCGGGTGGATGCACACGCGACACAGCGCAAACCACTGTACGCGAGTGTTCATCGGCGTAGTCCGGCGTGATGCAGGAAATGAAGCAGCTCCTGACCCACCATAAGTGTCGGTTATCGTAAACGCCATTGACCCAGATGTTGCGTGTACTGAAGGATCAAGAGGTTTCTTCATCTTTCACGTATTTCCTTAAATCAGGTAGGGAACCCGGACGTGTATCGCATATAGCAAGGGTCCCCAGAATTTTTAGGCCGACTGACAGTATACTGAAAAACAAGTTTGACTTCCAAAGTCAAGTACATTTGAAAAGCCCTCATTCCACAGTCGACTTTTGCTAACTCCTGAAATCCTCGTCCGCCAAAAGCTCATCAAGACTCCTCTCATTTCGTCCCATTTCTCCCACATTTATCTGCAAATCAGTAGGTTTCAAACGGATTTCAGCCACACGGAGAATTTCGAAACCGTCTATGATCCTCCCATCTATTTTTGAGAGTCGCTTCTAAAATTCCTGTTGTGCCTCATGCGTTACGTGCACGAAAAACACTACGTGGCAATCTCCTGAAATTTTAGATAACATCTCAAACGGTCGACCTTTCCGAAATGCAGTTCTTTTCCGATTAAAAACAACCCACCATAAAATCCATATAGAGTGCTGCACAGGTCACAACCCGAGTGTTTTTTCCTGAAGCCCTATGTTCAACCGACCAGGTCGGTGTAAAAACCTAAAAACGGTCACATCTTGTCTTTCTAAGGGAGAAACATGAAATATACCTACCCATACACATAGTTTAATCAGTGCTGAGCTCTTGAATCGACGTGTGGCCGCGCAAACCGAAAGCTTGGACTGTGTGGACAGAGGCAATAGTTCTGTTGACGTTACCCTGGTGATTTGGAGGCCTGTCTGTTGAACATTAATCCTTTTCACCACTAGGTTATATCGCTACTACAAAGCGCACCAGATGAGACGCAGCGAAACACATTTGGATTGCTGCATGAACCTGCAGTGCTGTATACTCCCTTTAGGTCGTGCAGTGGGAGAAAAGACACCAATCTAACCAATATCTTCTAGGTCCATGTATCCCCTCATGGTATGATGAAAATAGCCTATTACCATATGTTGTTTAGGACTGACATCCGCCAGCGCGTGGAAACTACTGTGATTTGCTTTACACTGGGGCAAATTGGTGATTCTTGCATATCCTCATCCTCTATCCCGATGTCTATTTAAGTGGTTACTCGCTTCGTACACCAGCAGCATCACACCACTAGCACACACTAGTTGTGGCATTGTGGCTGGGGTATTCTACAATGGATTATGGTATGAGAAACTTATAACTAGTTTCCTGTTTGAGCATAGCTTAGTCTGGGCTGTTTGCTCGTAATGGTCGAAATGGCGTTCGCTTTCCTGTTCAATATCGTCACGAGGGGTCACTACCCTAATCCATGGGTCCCGCTCATTGAGAAGGACTACGCAATCCTATATGGACGTGATTTCATGTGAAACTATCGGTTAGATTGACCCGAAATGGCTGTATGCACACGCTTTTGGTGTTCAGTTGGGTCACACCACATGGCTTATACACTTTGTGAATTGTGTGCATTGTTAGGTGCTGAATCTGAACTCATTTTCCTGAAGAATTAAAGTAAATCACCGTCCTCGAGTTTCCCTTGCTCATGTTTCAAGCGGACCCATCATTTTTTTTGTTCTCACTTACTCTCCCTTGCAGCACCCACTAAAACGTTTTGAACCGTTTGAGCTGACAAACCACGCCGTACTGCTCGTCGGATATGGGTTCGACGAAGAATCGAAGCTGCCCTACTGGATCGTGAAAAATAGCTGGGGAACGGAATGGGGCGAAGGCGGTTTCTTCCGCATACTTCGAGGTTCTGATGAATGCGCCGTAGAAAGTCTTGGAGTCGTGTTCGACCCAGTACTCTAGTTTCCCTGATCCAATGAATGCATCTGTCCTCATTTGCTCTTCTGCGCAGTCAGATTCACTGATCTGTAGCTTCTCTTTTTGGATCGTGTATAATTGCTTATTCTGTGTGCAAGTTTTCCCCGATGAACACTGCTGTTCTTACACCTATTAATTACTGGTTGATGGAGTTATGTCGGCGAAACATGATAAAACTGCTTCAAAACAAATTCGACCTCGTTTTTAAAGTGGGTTCGGGAATTTGCGAAGCCTTGTCGACATTAGCTAGTCGCTAAAATCCTATAGAGGAACCCAGCAGTGACTAAGATAGTTGGTTGCACCGCCTACCACTTCAGGTCATGCAACACGGTTGTTGCGCCAGTGAATTCCGTCCACGACCTTCTAGCCAACACCGAGTCGCAGTTCCTCGGTACTTGAGCCAGGTGGCGCAACTTTGTACTTATTTTGGAGTGAGAATCTTAGTATTCCTAACAACTGGATGCCCTTGATGAAGCCCTGTCAAGCCGAAGTCCATCTGCTAAGCTGAAACATCACTGATTGTGAAAATTTAGACCAGAATATTTTCTCGAACTTGGCTTAGTATTGGTTGATTTGCGGGCAGCATATCACATACCACAACCGCGGAATGTGCCATAGCTAGAGACATCCTGATGCTATATATTGCTAGAGCAGCTTTTCAACAAGACCCATTGTTGGAACCGAATCATGTACACCACAACTATGAACACGTTTGTACCGGGGAATGCCCAGTTCAACCGGGTCATTTGGGACAACATTGTTTGTCATCTGTAGAGTAACGGATATCCACAGAGAACGGTCTCGGGCGGTCCAAGTAAACTCCCGGGGTCACCACCCACCATGAAGTTTTTGTAGTAGCACTGCGGTCGACATTCGTACGACAAAGGCACAACTGAATTAAGTCCTTTGGGGTACTTTATAAAGTGCGTTTCGACCGTCTCGTCATATTTCGCTTGTTTCTCCACCGGAAAACACGTAATAAATGGTCTGTGATGAACGTCATCAGGCATGCCTACCCGCGTCCTCCATTAGGAAGCCTATTGAACTCTGATGCCAATGCCAGAAAACCTCAAATATCGACCGTGACTTTTAAGAAATTTGGCGTGGAATTCAGTGTCCGTAGTCTGACTGCTGGTAACCATCTGAAGAATTATGGGGAAGTCCCGGTGGGTAATCGCATGGAAAAGAGCAACGGACAAGTGCGTGATTGGATAGAAATGCAGGGAGGCTGTTTGCGCTCACTGTCCACACAATTACCTGAGACAATCCACGCAGCTCAAATGAAACCCAATACAACGGGATCAAGCTCCTAATGCACAGCACCTCCGCGATCTTCACTTTTCGAATCGCCGTACCAATGATACCCAAAGGCGATGGACGCTGCAACTACATATCTACTGATGTCCAGAGCCGATCGGTGACACTCCCAGCCGTCGATAACAGGGTGCTAACCTAGGCATAAAATCAGTATTTCCAGACACTAGGGGTTGTTATGAGGTATTTCTGATCAAATGCATCCAAAGGTAATGCTCATTTTCTTGAAAAGATGCGGTTACTAGCTTCGGCTACTTGTTTGTTGGGATTACTCCGACGTTCGTGTTACACAGCGAGATGGCTTGAGTGATTAGAGCACGAACTTACTAACCGGAAGGTCCGTGGTTCGAACCCGACTTCCCCTGTCTATGCTTGGGCAACCTGGTAGTATCCCAGCCCTCGTGCTTCCTTCGAGTGGCATAGCGGCTAGGCACCAGAAGGGTGTTACAGCTGAACGATTTTTAATTTTTTTTGCATAGCTTCCCACCAAACATGTGCCAGAACGCTGTTCGCATTTTAGAACTGGTTCCATCGTAAAAATGTGTAAGACCATAGGTATCCCTGGATAACAGCAGCAAGTAAAAATATCACATTTTATTGAGGCCGACATTTGGTACAAGACCAGAGGAATTAAAAGCAGTGTAAAATGTATCAGATCTTCTTCTTCTGGCCACTAATAACGGTGGACTGCTTTACGGCTCCGTATTGTTCTGCTGACAGTTGGTTAATCCGGTACAGCGCATACAAGCTAAAAGGAATGCTGGAATGGAAAAAAACTTTTGTCAGAAGCACAGCAACAAAGTACGACTATCCAGAAAATAATCGGTTCAACCCGCGGCGATCGCAAAACGGTAATAAGGCGTGTCATCAGAGAGCAAACTAGAAAATAGCCCACATGTATGCGAGGTGACGAGTTAAAATATCACGCCCACGTTCCCTGCACACAGAATCTCAAGTCGGTTACAAGTGAGATGGCTCAACTGGTTACAGCGCGAATTTACTGACCGGAAGGTTCATGGTTCGAACCCGACCTTTGCCTCTCGACTTCCCCTGTCTAGATTTGGGCAACCTGGCAGTATCCCAGCCCTCGTGCTTCCTTCTGGTGGTATGGCATTTAGGCACCGAAAGGGTGCTGTAGCTAAACGAACGGTTACAAGCTCTGCTGACTCCAATGGAATCGACATAATAAAATAACCCGCTTTGCTCTCACTCATTAATTTCCGAAACTTCGTTCGTTCCAAGAACAATTACTTTAGCAACACTAGGCCGAACGTGCGCACAGGCGAAAATCGTTACGCTGTGATTAAGAGGAGTCCTTCGATGTAGGCTGCCTGGCAAGGCCTAGTTACCTGAAGACCGCTCAATGCCAGGAAAGCCAAAGGCTGTTGTTTATGGGTAATCGTGCGAAATTTGGGCAAGTAAATCCGCAGTCTTTCCAAAGCGGGAGTGCGAAGTGGTAAGATGCTTCTCTCAGACAACCGGTATTTCAATGTATGCTGGAATAGCGATTGTGCTTTCCCGAGGAAGAAGTATGAAAAAGGTGGGCTAAGGACAATCCTGAAACCAGTACTTCTCTTCAAATACAGTGTCTGTACTAAGGAACCAAAGAACGTTTACTTCGAACCTCATACCTCAACCTTCGTGGACGACCGCTCTCGTGGTTCTTTGCTTGTTGATCTTATAGTAACCCTTTTGTCACCATTATCAGTGCAAGCAATAGCAGCATGGTGTATGTATGGTATGCTGTATAAGCATACCAATTTATTCAAATAAATTAGCGTCAAAGAGAGATAAAACGGATGGTGGGAACTGGCCTATCAAAAGCACCCGAGGCGCTCATACTTCAAAACACCACACCACTGGTAGCAGTTGGGTGTCGTAATATGCAATGCCTCCAACCAGCCGTGGGTAGAATCACGTAAACACCACTGTGGAACGTGGGTCGTACACAACCGTTTCCACTTCCTTTTATCAAGTCGCAGCTTGTTTACCTCATCCTGCCACCGAAATTTGCGCACATAAAACAGCATTTCCCTATGTAAGCAATGGTTCCGTATGAGTTCCATTTAGTCCATCACATACAATAAAACGCTGAATTCGGTCATTAGATTTCTGGGTGCCCGAAAATATGACAGCAGCAAGGATGTAGATACACACAAGATACAAACATTGGAAGCAACAGCGTAATCAGCAAGTTAGTGCTCTCCAACTTGGAGCGGAACCAACCACTGACGGCCCATGCAAAGATATGTGGTGGCCGGATAAGGTCATGGCTAGTCAATTTTCACACCGCATTCTCTTCACATTGTTCCTGCGACACCGTGATGGATATTCAGATGTTGTGGCTGAAGGCACACCTAAGCATACTTCCTCGTCCTATTCAACTAGTAACGGAGATCGTTATTTGCTCTCAGTCTCTAAACGTAGCCAATCTCTGTCAAGGATTGTCCACCCCGACCTAAAAATGTTCCCACGGGCTACACTGGCTGGAACTTCGGGTCCCCAAAAAAACCCTACATTCTCCCACTGCCTCATGGGTCAGACTTTTGAGTCAGAGGCTAGGGTCAGGGTCCCCGAACAAAACCCCCAACC